AAGAAAAGAAAACTCCTCCTGAGTATTTGATAATATGCAGGATTTTTTTGAATGTGTCAGCTACCATATGTTATTCTGGTTTTGTAGGAAACCATACATACTTTGTTTTTTAGACACAGAGTCTCGTTCTGTTGCCTAGGCTGGAGTGTAGTGGTGCAATCACTGCTCACTGCAGCCTCGACCACCCAGGCTCAAGCGATGCTCCTGCCTCAGCCTCCTGAGTAGCTAGGACAACAGCGCCTACCACCACACCCCAGTTTCATGCTTACCTTTTTTTTTTATAGGTGCATACTGAAGTATTTAGGAGTGAAATTTTGTGAGATCTGCAATTACAATATTTCATAATGTAAAAACATGAAGCAGGCAGGGCAACATATTAGTAACTGTTAAATCTGTTTTGTGTATGTGGGTATCATTATGCCACTCTCTGCACTGCATTTTGAAAAATTTTAAGTCAAACAAGGAAAACGCTGCCTGAGAAAATTTTCCTAAGTTCAAAATGTTATTACTTTTACTTTAAGTGAGACAATATTTCTTTTTTTTTTTTCTTTTTTTTGAGGAGTCTTGCCCTGTTGCCCAGCCTAGAGTGCAGTGGTGTGATCTTGGCTCACTGTAATATCTGCCTCCTGGGTTCAAGTGATTCTCCTACCTCAGCCTCCCAAGTAACCTGGATTGCAGGCGTGTGCCACCAAACCCAGCTAATTTTTGTATTTTTAGTAGAGATGCAGGTTTACCATGTTGGCCAGGCTGGTCTCGAACTCCTGACTGCAGGTGATCTACCCGCCTCAGACTCCAAAGCACTGGGATTACACGTGTGAGCCACCACACCTGGCTATTAATTCCTTAACTGAATTTCCGTTTGAATTGAAACAACATAAAATCCTAATTTCGATAACATTATTTACATTTTTTATGTTAGTTGCTAGAACCCGATGTGAGAAGGCAGCATTTTGTCAACCTCACCTGGCAGTGGCATGGCCTGCAGCCTTCTGGACAGCATTGGGTGTGGGGAATTGGGGGCATGTGAGCCCCCGGGCTGGCTCAACAGTGTGGTCTGGGCCCTTTCCCAGAGGCTTCTTAGCCCCAAGCTGATTGTCCACCCCCAGTCTCCTCAACAGCGAGAGGCACATTGTCCTGCTGTGTAGAGAATCTTAGTTCTTCTGTCTCCTGTCACATATTTTCAGGACCTAGGACAGCTCCTAGGTCCCATCCCCTGTCTCAGAAATGACTTCTCAAGTCATACCCTGCCACAGCATTTTGTTAGCATGTTTTGTTGTTGTTCTTTGTTTTGAGATAGGGTTCTGCTCTTCTTGCCCAGGTTGGAGTGCAGTGGCGCAACCTCGACTCACTGCAACCTCCGCCCTCTGGGTTCAAGCAATTCTCCTGCCTCAGCCTCCAGAATAGCTGAGAATACAGGCACCTGCCACCACGCCCAGCTAAGTTTTTTGTATTTTTATAGAGACGGGGTTTCACCATGTTGGCCAGACTGGTTTCAAACTCCTGACCTCAAGTGATCCACCCACCTCAGCCTCCCAAAATGCTGGCATTACAGGCGTGAGCCACTGCACCTGGCTGAGCCTCTTCTGCGACAGTTGTGGTTTGTTGGATCTAAGCCCAGCTTTGTTTTTACTCTGACTTGCTGTTTTATAAGCTGTCAGCCTAGTTTAGAAATTTTAATGGCATTACGGGGATGGGAAATCCCTGGGAAGAATTAGCTGACCAGGAAAGGTGTGTGGTGAGGGCATTGCATGGCAGGTGGAAGTTTAGGTTACTTGGGATTACTAAGTTACAGCAGTGGAATTTATGAATGAATTAGCCAAGTAAGTGAATAAATGACTGAGTAAAGAACACTTACCTGAGGCTGGGTGCGGTGGCTCACATCCGTAATCCCAGCACTTTGGGAGGCCAAGGCAGGCGGAGCATCTGAGATCAGGAGGTCGAGACCAGCCTGACCAACGTGGAGAAACCCCGTCTCTACTAAAAAAAAACAAAAAAAAAAAACAAATTAGCCAGGCGTGGTGGTACATTCCTGTGATCCCAGCTACTTGGGAGGCTGAGGCAGGAGAATCACTTGAACCTGAGAGGTGGAGGTTGTGGTCAGCTGAGGTCATGCCATTGTACTCCCACCTGAGTGACAAGAGTGAGACTCCATCTCAAAAAAAAAAAAAAAGCCGACTTACCTGTAATTCTGAGGCCCTCTGCCCTCACCTGGAGTCAGAGCAGGAAGGATGACAGGTGTGGATGGGAGGGCGTCGCTGCAGGTGCTCACCTGCCTGGCTGGAAACCCCGTGTGGACAGGCAATGCAGCCACAGCAGCTAGTGCGCTTCCCTCCTTCAGGGGCTTCCTGAGTCCAGGGCCACACCATAGGCCTCACCTCAGGGAATCCAAAACGGAACATGAGGGATGTTTCGTCACAACTGAGCAATATATACAGCAGTGGAGGTATCTAACAGGAAAGGTAGTTCTATGCTCTTGGAGGGGTTTGGGTGTTTTCCTTTTTTGAGACAGGGTCTCACTCTGCTGCCCAGGCTGGAGTGCAGTGGTGCAATCACTGCTCACTGCAGCCTCGACCTCCCAGGCTCAAGCAATCCTCCCGCCTCAAGCTCCCGAGTATCTGGAAGTACAGATGTATGTCACCACACCCGGCTCATTTTTGTATTTTTTGTAGAGACGGGTTCTGCCATGTTGCCCAGGGTGGTCTCGAATTTCTGGTCTCAAGCAGTCCTCCTGCCAGCCTACCAGAGTGCTGGAATTACAAGCGTGAGCCCCTGCACCTGGCCAATGGTATGGGTTGTCTTTTTTTTTT